TTACTCTATGAATAACACATTATTTAGGCTTACCTCAAGGGGGTTTTGGTAATTTGCCCTTTATTTTTTACATATTTAACAGAAGGATATAATAGACATTTCACGTTTTCGGTTAAAAAAATTCGGTCAACCGTTAGTCAAGGGGGGTTTTCGTAATTACGAGAACGTGAGGGGGGTTTTCGTTATTTAGGCTTACCTTAGGGGGATTTTGGTAATTTGCCCTATAAATATATTAAAGAAAATCAAGTAAAACAAGAATATGGGAGATCAAATGTAAGGATAATAGAACCTTTTCTTTTTATTCTTTCTTGTTTATTCAAGTGTGTTTTAGATCCATTACAATGGCATCTATTTATAGTTCTCAAGTAGCATATTGAATACATGAAGTATTAATGAAGCCACTTAAACTCTTACGTTTTTGACATCCACACTAAATGCATATTGAATGCATTCATAACACTCCCCCTTGGATGTCAATCTTAATGGAATATGCCTCGTTAAAAACTTTGCCAGTAAAACCCAATGGGAAAATCTGGACAAAGGAAAAAGAGTGCACATCCATGTGAAGCTTGCGATCGTGAGACACTGCCTCGTTAAAACCTTGCCAAGAAAAACCCAGTGGGATAAAAACTTGGACGAAGGAAAAAGAGTACAGTGTGTGAGAGTTAATGATCACGCTCCCCCTGATGTCGGCAAGAGATCTTTGAGTCGACGCATTCCAATACTATGGACCATCTTCCTGAACGTTGTAGTTGGCAGTGCTTTAGTGAATAAATCTGCCAAGTTGTTGCATGACTGTATCTGATGAACGTCAATATCACCATTCTTTTGTAGCTCGTGAGTGTAGAAAAACTTGGGTGATATATGTTTTGTTCTATCACCTTTAATGTAGCCGTTTCTGATTTGTGCAATACAAGCGGCATTATCCTCGTAAAGTATTGTGGGTGTATCTCGTATTGAAGTCAGCCCACAATTTTCTCGAATGTGTTGGATCATTGATCTCAACCATATACACTCGCGACTGGTTTCATGCAATGCCAGAATTTCTGAGTGATTTGAAGAAGTAGCTGCCAATGTCTGTTTCACTGAACGCCATGAAATTACAGCACCGCCACAAAAAAAAACGTAACCACTCTGAGATCTGCCTTTATGTGGATCAGAAAGGTAGCCGGCATCTGCATAGCCCACTATTTGGGATTATGAATTGTTTGAGTAAAACAAACCCATATCAGTTTTTCCACGAAGATAGCGTAATACATGTTTAATGCCATTCCAATGTCTTTTAGTAGGCGCAGAGCTATATCTTGCTAATAAGTTGACCGAGAAAGCAATATAGGGTCTAGTGTTATTTGCAAGATACATTAGTGCTCCAATGGCACTAAGATAAGGTACTTCTGGACCAAGTAATTCTTCATTCTCTTCTCGAGGGCGGAATGGATCTTTCTTTATATCCAACGATCGAACAACCATTGGACTACTCAAAGGATGAGATTTATCCATGTAAAATCGTTTTAGAATCTTTTCTGTATATGTTGATTGATGGATGAAGATTCCATTGGACAAATGCTCGATCTGCAGGTCGAGACAAAATTTTGTCCTTCTGAGATTTTTCATCTCAAATTCTTTCATCAAATAGTTTGCGGTCTTTGTGAGCTCTTCAGGAGTTCCCACAAGATTTAGATCATCCACGTAAACCGCAATAATAGCAAATCCATTATTAGATCTTTTGATGAAAACACAAGGACAAACTGGATTATTTATATACCCTTCTTTAACAAGGTATTCACTTAGACGGTTATACCACATTCTTCCAGATTGTTTTAAACCGTACAAGGATCGTTGCAACTTAATTGAGTATAGCTCACGAGACCTTCGTTTAAATGCTTCAGGCATTTTAAATCCTTCAGGGATTTTCATATAAAGATCACTATCTAATGATCCATATAGATATGCAGTAACAACATCCATAAGGCGCATGTCAAGCCTCTCTGTGACTGCTAAACTGATCAAATATCTCAACGTGATTGCATCGATCACGGGGGAATATGTTTCATCATAATCAATTCCGGGTCTCTGTGAGAAATCTTGTGCAACTAATCGTGTTTTATATCTCACGATTTCATTTTTCTCATTTCGTTTTCGTACGAGTACCCATTTATATCCAATGGGTTTTACACCATCCGGTGTTTGGACTGCTGGTCCAAATACTTTACGATTTTCAAGGGAATTTAATTCAACTTGAATAGCATTTTCCCATTTTGGCCAATCATTTCTATGTCGATATTCTTCGACAGATTTTGGTTCGGGGTCCTCATTTGCAATATCAATTGCAACCCCATAGGCAAAAATATTATCAATAACAACTTTATTTCTATCCTAGTTTTTTCTGTTATTCAAATAGTTTAAAGATATCTCTTCGGATATAAGTTCTTTCTCATGATCCTCTCCAGGAGCATCATGTACTTTAGACTGATCAGTCACATTTTTCATAGCGCTTTCTTGTTCACAGATAATATTCTCTTCAGGAGAATTTACTTCTATTACCCTTTTCCTTCTAGGGTTCTTATCTTTTGCTCCAATAGGGCGCCCACGCTTCGTGCGAGGTTTCATTATCTTTTCATGTTGTCCTTCAGGGACATCAACCCGTGCCGGGGTGTTTATAGCGGGTATATGAGATTTTGTTACCGTTTTCATATCGGTAAAAGCATCCGGCAATTGATTTGCAATATTTTGCAAATAGATTATCCTTTTTACTTCTTTCTCACATTGATTTGTGCGTGGGTCAAGATGAGACAAAGACGGTACATTCCATGTAATTTCACGCCGATCAACTTGAACCGACGATCTTTCTCCCCCTAACGGCGGGAAAATTGTCTCATCAAAATGGCAATCAACAAATCTTGCCTTAAACAAATCACCCGTCAGGGGTTCAATGTATCTAATTATAGACGGGGAATCAAAACCAACATAAATTCCAAGTCGTCTTTGTGGACCCATTTTTTTTCTCTGAGGTGGAGAAATCGGAACATAAACAGCACAACCAAATATTTTTAAGTGAGAAATGTCTGGCTGCTGGCCAGAAACAAGTTGAAACGGTGAATACTTCTGAAATGAATTTGGTCTAATCCTGACCAATGAAGCAGCATGTAATATTGCATGTCCCCAAATAGAAGTGGGTAAATTAGACCGTAAAAGCAAAGGTCTAGCAATCAATTGCAATCTCTTAATAAAGGACTCTGCAAGTCCATTTTGAGTATGTACATGGGCAACTGAATGTTCAACATCAATACTAATTGACATGCAATAATCATGAAATGCTTGAGATGAAAATTCACCGGCATTATCAAGACGAATAGTCTTGATAGGATAATCGGGAAATTGAGCTCGTAATCTTATGATTTGAGCAAGAAGTCTAGCAAAAGCAACAATACGTATTGACAATAGACTTACATGTGACCATCTAGATGATGCATCCAATAGAACCATAAAATAGCAAAATGGTCCACAAAGTGGATCTATAGGTCCACAAATATCCCCTTGAATTCTTTGCAAAATGTTGGGGCTTCGCTACTAATTTTCATTGAAGATGGTCTTATAATTAATTTCCCTTGTGAGCATGCAATGCACACACATTCATGGGGCAAAAGAATCTTCTGGTTCTTTAAAGTATGCCCATATGAATTATTTATTATTCGACGCATCATGGTCGATCCTGGGTGACCAAGTCGATCGTGCCAAAGAGAGAAAATTTTCGGATCATTGGACTTCTGGTCCATCACAATATTTGTTTCTATTGCGCTTATAGTCGCATAATACAACCCTGATGAGAAAACTGGGAGTTTCTCTTTAACATGCTTCTGGCATGAAATATTGGTTGTAATACAAAGAAATTCCATATTCCCCTCATTCATAGTCTCGATATGAAATCCATTGAGACGTATGTCCTTGAAACTTAACAAGTTTCTTTTGGATTTATTAGAGTACAAATCCTCTTTGACCAAAATGTTCGTTCCACTAGGCAAAATAATATTAGCTCTTCCGGAGCCATCAACTAGTATGGTAGTACCAGAAATTGTACTAACACTTGCCTTTGCCAATTTCAAACTCGAGAAATATTTTTGATCTCGAAGAATTGTGTGTGTTGTTTCACTGTCAACCAAACAAATGTCTCCATCGTTAAGGTTGCTCACGGACTCATTATATTCCATTTTTCTGGGAATAAAATAAGTAATATAAGAAGATATAATAAAATTTATTTTCTTATATCAATCAAACCACCAACCACACATCAAAATTATTTCGAACTCATATAGGGAATGGAAAGATAAACATTATTTAACTCAAATGCAACATAAATGTAATATTTGATCAATCTTGATTGATCTATTTGTTGCCATCATTGTTATCATCACCATGAAATTTGATTTCATCAATTTCTCCACTTGGCGCGGGAAAGAAATGAGCAACATCCAATGGGTAAGGTCCATTGGATCAATATGGTCATTCTCGGTGTTGCTAAAATCAGTAAAATTGATTTCTTTCCCTTTTCCTTTTCCCTTGATGGATGCTTGATATAAATCCACAAGGTGCCTTGGAGTACGACATGCACGTGACCAGTGCCCTTTCACTCCACACCTGTGGCAACTCTCATTTTGATTATTAGAAGGGCCAAATTTTACAGCCTTGCCCTTGTCTTGTTTTTCACCATTTTTATGCCACTTCGGGTGGTATGGTGCAACTCTAGGACCATCTTGATGTCGACCAGACCACGGCGATACCCACGGCCACGGCCACGACCCCGACCACGATTATAGTTGTTTGCATTCACTTCAGGGAACGAAATATTTGCATTTACTTCTGGAAATGCTTGTGATCCTCTTGGGTGGGAGTTATGATTTTTCATCAAGAGCTCGTTGTTCTGTTCAGCAACGAGGAGGCAAAAAATCAATTGAGAGTATTTGGTAAAACCTCTTTCACGATATTGCTGCTGCAGGAGCATATTAGAGGCATGAAATGTGGTAAATGTATTTTCTAACATGTCTTGTTCTGTGACATCGTCTCCGCATTATCTCAATCGAGAAACAATTTTAAACATGGCGGAATTATACTCATTTACCGATTTAAAATCTTGCAAACGCAAGTGCATCCATTCATATCGAGCTTTAGGAAGTATCACACTCTTCTGGTGATCATATCTTTCCTTTAAATTATTCCATAGAGTAGCAGGGTCCTTTACCCCAAGATACTCGGATTTTAAGCCCTCGTGGAGATGATGGCGAATAAAAATCATTGATTTCGCCTTATCTTGTTCACTTTCCTCATTACCATCCTTAATGGTATTTCCGAGGTTCATGGCATTCAAATGGATCTCAGCATCAAGGATCCAAGTTAGATAATTTCTTCCGGAAATATCTAGAGCAGCGAACTCAAGCTTGGTGATGTTTGCCATAGCACTGTGTCATAAAATTAATAGTGCTTTAGATTATATGTATACTCAAAACTCCAGGTTTGAGTCTAATTTATTCAATATATTCAAGCTTCAGGCTTTGATATTCGATATAGACTTCGGGCCTATATTTTCTATAAAGAATTTCAGGTTCTTATGATAATTTGCATAACAATAAAGCAAATACATAATAATTAAAGAGATAGCATTTTAATTGATGCATAATAAATTAATATATTTATTATTGTATCAAAACGTTTGATATCATTAAAAGAAAACCGTAGGCCTGTAAAATACACACATGAATAGATAATAAAATGATTATGCCAAAAAGAATATAATAATTCTATGAGTACATGCAAATATATACGTATACACAAGCATATATGCATATATGTAAACAAAATGCTAAATGGATAAACAAATTTTATTAGTGTAGGCATGTATACACATACGACGTATATTAATGCACATACATATACATGTATTAATGAAATCAGTTGTAGTGCTATATGATTTTTCAAAAAACAACAAAAGTTAGGGCCGAGAAAAAGTGTTGGAAATATATCTATATGTCTCGTACTGAGATTGAATTGTGACAATAAACATGAAATGCATGTCTATTACCGAAACCAACTTCAAATAAAAACATGAGCAAACTCGTGCTGATAACGTTTTACAAATATATTAAAGAAAATCAAGTAAAACAAGAATATGGGAGATCAAATGTAAGGATAATAGAACCTTTTCTTCTTATTCTTTCTTGTTTATTCAAGTGTGTTTTAGATCCATTACAATGGCATCTATTTATAGTTCTCAAGTAGCATATTGAATACATGAAGTATTAATGAAGCCACTTAAACTCTTACGTTTTTGACATCCACACTAAATGCATATTGAATGCATTCATAACAAATACAATATTTTCTTTTCATTTTGTCACTCCCCTCATTTTACCTATTTCCACACTACCCAATATTTGAAGACAAAACAGTTGAACCTTCGTTATTTATAATAGTTTTTCTATTTTTTTTTTTGGGCAAATGGCAAAAAGGCTCATCACATGGGACTTAAATGCATTTTAGTCCACAAAAAAAACAGTCTCTCAATTAAGCCCATCCCCATGTCTTTAGTCTAAAATACCCTCAATAATATAATTCTTAACAATTCCACCCATTATGCTCTAACTTCCCTAATATTACACATTGACCCCGGATTTAAACAAATATATCACATTAACCCCCAAAACTTTTTTTTTTTCAGAAAATAATTTTTTTTCTGAACTGTTTTTTTTTCCGGCCAGATTCCGACGTTGACCGCCGGAGACCGCCGGTCTCCGGCGTTGACTTTTTTTTTTTTTTTTTGAAATTTGTTTTTCCTGATTTTTTTCCCGGCCGGTCAACCACCGTTGACCGCCGGTCTCCGGCGTTGACTTTTTTTTTTTTTTTTTTTTGAATTTTTTTTTCTTAGAAAAAAAATATTTTAATTAATATTACTGTCTTGACTACTAAATTACTGTCTCAGACAGTAATATTACTGTTTGGGACAGTAATATTATGAATAATATTTTTCCGAACAGTAATATTATTAATATTATAGTCTAAGACAGTTAAATTACTGTTGGAGACAGTAATTCAACATCCAAGACAGTAATATTAATTAAAATAATTTTTTTTAAGGAAAAAAACTGCTGGAGACAGTAATTTAGCAACGAATACAGTAATATTAATTAAAAATATTTTTTTAAGAATAAAAAAGTCAATTAACAGTTAAGTTACTGTCTCCGACAGTTAAATAACTGCTGGAGACAGTAATTTAGCAACGAATACAGTAATATTAATTAAAAATATTTTTTTTAAGAATAAAAAAGTCAATTAACAGTTAAATTACTGTCTCCGACAGTTAAATAACTGCTTGAGACAGTAATTTAGCAACGAATACAGTAATATTAATTAAAAATATTTTTTTTTAAGAATAAAAAAGTCAATTAACAGTTAAATTACTGTCTCCGACAGTTAAATAACTGCTGGAGACAGTAATTTAGCAACGAATATAGTAATATTAATTAAAAATATTTTAATTTAGCAACGAATATAGTAATATTAATTAAAAATATTTTTTTTAAGAATAAAAAAGTCAATTAACAGTTAAATTACTGTCTCCGACAGTTAAATAACTGCTGGAGACAGTAATTTAGCAACGAATACAGTAATATTAATTAAAAATATTTTTTTTAAGAATAAAAAAGTCAATTAACAGTTAAATTACTGTCTCCGACTATTAAATAACTGCTGGAGACAGTAATTTAGCAACAAATACAGTAATATTAATTAAAATATTTTTGAAGAAAAAAAAAAAAAAAGTCAATTAACAGTTAAATTACTGTCTCCGACAGTTAAATAGCTGCCGGAGACAGTAATTTAGCACCCAAGACAATAAAATTAATTAAAATATTTTTTTTAGAAAAAAAAAAAAAAAAAAAGTCAACGCCGGAGACCCGGCGGTCAACGGCCGTTGACCGGCCGGAAAAAAATTTCAGGAAAACAAAATTCAAAAAAAAAAAAAAAATAATAAAGAAAGTCAACGCCGGAATCTGGCCGGAAAAAAAATATTTCAGAAAAACAATTATTTTCTGAAAAAAAACAAAGTTTGGGGGGTTAATGTGATATATTTGTTAAAATCCGGGGTCAATGTGTAATATTAAAGAAGTTAGAGCATAATGGGTGGAATTGATACGAATTAGGGTTAAAATTGGGGTCAAAATTGAAATTTCGGTTAAAATTGATTAATTGATGAAATTGGGCTAAATTGGGGTGTAAATCATGAAATTGGAGTTGAATTGGGTTTCAATGAATTGTGGGTAATTTTGGTATATATAAAGGGATTTTCCTTATTTGCAAATAAGTTTGAATGGGGTGGATTTATTTGAAAGACAAAAAAATTAAATGTCCCTATTTTAATTAAGTGCCCTTGTCATGGGCCTATTTGCCATTACCCCTTTATTTTTTTTTTTTTTTTATTTCTATAATTTTTGTAATTGTCTTCCTTTGTATAAGTTTACTCTATTGTAGTCAACTATGCTATGTATAGTTGACTAAACACTGATATAGTCGACTACATTATATGTTGGGGATCGACTTGCATACATAGTAGAATTTTTTTTTCTCTATCATGCGAATTCTATGAACAATAAATTCAAGTAATTATATATATATATATATATATATATATATATATATATATATATATATATATATATATATATATATATATATATGAAAGAGATTCGTTTACTTACCCGTTGAACATAAACTTCTTAAAATGTTGTCACAGTTGTCATCACCTAAGTCCTTAGTTGAGCAATTCCACGCCAAATAATTTGTACTATATGGAAATGCAAAAATATATTCAGTGAGTGATTGGCACAGTTTGACCAAACCAATTTAGAGATTGTAAGGTATAAAGTAATGACCATATATTGGTTTACCCTATTTAGGTTAAAATAGAACATACAATAAATATAAGAATATACATGTACAAAAGTTGAATACACCAACTACAAGTACCAACTAGGGTTGTGTATAAAAATGAGACCAATGTTGTGTATTGTGGAATTGTCAAGGGTTGGGGACTCCCTTGACATCACGTGCTCGGGGATATTCTACGAGAGCATCGTCCTCAATTGGTGTTTCTTTCAGAAACGAAAGCTTCATCAAACCTTGTAGATAAATTGAAAAAGAAAAATGGAACCTTTTTGGAGTGAGTGTGGGCAAAGTGGGGCAATCGGGATGATTAACGCTGTTATGGAACAAAAATATTTATGTTCAACTCCTCAGCATCTCTAATAACCATATATATGCGGAGGTGGTTGAGGAAGATACGGATTTTAAGTGGAGGATGACATGTTTCTATGGCTTTTCGGAACATGATCGCAAACACCTCTCTTGGACCATTATACAACGGCTTCGAGATCATAGTGCGATGCCATGGATTATTAGCGGGGATTTTAACGAGATCTTGAACCACATTGTTAGTGAAATACCTACACGCAAGTGCACATATATACGTATCGACAAGAAATATAGTAGACAATTAAGTCTAGATATCGATCCCACTGATAATATAAATTATCTAATCCTAATCGCTAGAATCTAGCAATTATTATCAAGCCAACTCTACACAGTCGAAAGATAGTCGATTAAATTATATTAAACAAAATCAAACTAAATTAAATTAAAGAAAATTAAACAGGCAATAGCAAGAAAACAAATAAATAGGAAGATTTATCAGAGTAAATAAGCCTATGATTTTATCGGGGAAATTGGCTAGACACCCCTTATTTTGGACTTATATGGGTAGAGATCCTAATTGCTAGATGAATATAGGCATAGGTCCTTTGATCCTAAAAATTAATATAAATAAAATAAAATAATTAGTATATAGACATAAACACCCTCAATTAATAAGAAAATAAATCTCATCTATTCTCTCTCCAATCTCACGTTTCTCTCACCTTATATTTAATCACTCATTCTCTTCCTCTGTATCTAATCTCACGCCTCTCTCTATCTCGTTCTTCTCTGTCTTCTTTTTTTTTTCTTCTTTTGTTTCTTTATTTTTTTTATGAAGAAATATTATAGAGAAGGAGAAAAACAGGGATGTGAGATAATTTATCGATGAAAGAATTAAAGAGGACAACAAACATCCCTCCCCTCTCCTAAAAAAATTCAGAAATCCATAAAATTGTAGCCAAAATTCTCATTGTGTCTCCCGTATGTAGAAACCTTCCCATCGTTTGTTGTTAGCAATTTTCGTTTGCAAGTTGGTTTAACTTCGTTTGTTGTTTGAAGAATTGCGTTTTTTGTTGAGATTCAATTCCTCTGGTTTATAATTTGAAAGGTATGTCTTAAGTTATATTTTACAAACACTTTGTTTAATGTTTTTGCTGTTTGCAACGTGTTTCATAAACAATTTTTTTGTTGGTCTTTTTAATGTTGATGATT